AGCGCAAGAAACTCAGTCACTATTGTCAGCCTCCTTTTCAAGGTTTTACAGTCTTTAAAATATACAAATTATAGTCATAAGTATTGATGCGAGCTAGGTAGTTAAACATTCCAAACATTTTTATCTTTTATATAATCATCAACATTATAGTAGCCCTTTTTCATTAAGGTGCTTTTGATATGTGCTTTAAATTTATGAATGGACAATTCTACAACAGTTTGTGGTAATTTATTGAAAAGTTTAATACACCTACATTTCCCCATAAATGAATTACCTATCTTGTGCAGTCTGAAATTTGGAACGGCAAGTTTATTTTTGTTTCTTGTATTGAACTTGTGTAAATATACAAACATATATGGAAAAATAGTGTGTATTTAGAACTCACCACACTAGTAACCACAATTTATAATAATCCATGAAAAAGTACAGACGCCTACGTAATTTCCAAACCAAATGCCATAGAGTACAACTCGATCGAGTTTACTGCGCATCTCGCTGGAATGCCACTCCCTCGAACTCATCCGCACACCTCCCTGCGCTCGCCCCGTCCGTACCAGGGTCGATGTGACGTCACCGCTGCCAGGTGCGCAGTTAACTCGATCGAGCTGTACTTGTACTATAGCCTGACCAGGAACATAAAAACCCTGGCATAGAGGCGCGTCAATTGCATTTGATAGTGCAACACTGAGTACAGTCGTACCTGTGTTAATTAATAGGCTAACTTTATGTACCTATTCAGGATTACGGGCTAATTTGACATTTTCATAAATTAACGAAAAAATATTATTATAGATAACCTGGTTTAAATAAATTAAATGAAACCATCAATCGAGCTAGTAGGATTTATTTTATTATTCATCAATAATCAAATTTAGAACTTGAATATTCAACTGCAATGTTTGCTCATGAACGCTTTAAACTCGGTACCTCTTTCCCAATTCCATAAAATTCAACACTTAGAAAGTGACAAAAAATTTTTAAATAGGTAGTTGAAACAAACCACAGCTAATTTTCATAGTGGACTGTACTATGCGATAAACATATCAGTCAATTTGACAACCTTTGTCGGAAACATTATTTAATGAAAATAATGTCCGAACCCTTAGTATTTCTCTTCGACAAACACTTTAACACATTGTAAACCACTTTTCTTTCACGACTATAAAAAGATTTTAGCAATTTAATTCACAAAATCAATTGCGCACATTTAAAATAAAGTTTGTTTACACTTTGACAGCAATAGACTGACATGCAAGGTGACATGACAATGAAGTTTTCAGTTACTGTTGCCATTAAAAGAAATTAGTACCATTAGTTTTCCGCAACATGGCGAGGGTTTTTATGTTCCTGGTCAGGCTATAAGTGTTATTTTGCAATAAAAACTTCAATTATGTGATGATACATTATTGTGGTGATCCGCAGTGGACTGTATGCGTTTGTGTGTGTTCGAGAGCGCTGACCGGACGATGATGACTGCCGTTGAGAGCTTGCCCTTACTATGTCAGGCGTTGTAGGTGCTACTTGCAGGAATAAAACCACTATTTCACTTGCTGAGAGGTCTCGTGTTTATTATTCGCTTCCTTTTCTCAGTCCTTGCTTCTTCAGATCACTTGTTGCTTAGAGCACCTTGTTCTCTGAACTGAACACAACTTTAAATAAACTTAACCTTGTCTCCCGGAGCGCCTCGCTCCGTATTTATAGGGCCCCGGGGTATATCCATCCCTTTCTCTCCCGATATTCCTGTCTCTGTCTCTCATGTTCTGGACCATAGTTCTGGAATGTTCAAAGCGAGAGGTCCGATGTTGCCGTCCCGTTTCTTTTTCTCTCGAATATTCCAGAAGTGTGTGGAAGACTAATTGATGTGCAAGCGAGATGACAGATAATGTGAGAAAGAGATGGAATGTTATTTATTATCTCTAATCGACTCTAATTGATTATTTTACAACATTATCTGACTGTTAACGTTGCTAATCGATTCTAATTAATAAGTTAGCGTATTTCCTTGGTCGACGTCGCTAACAATTATTATTAGTGTACTTACATTGTTTTCTCTGAAGACCAGCACATTGGACACGTGGTGGCTGTACGACGACGGAGGCCTGAACATGCTTCTCCCGTACATCATAGCCAACCGAGGCTTCAAGGAGAAGATGCCTTTGAGAATATTCTCGCTCGCCAGGCCCCATCACAAAATTGAAGCTGCACAGAAATAGTATGATTATAATTTTTTGACTTTGTTATTAGATTAATGAGTACTGTTTATCAATGTTTCTGCTAAACTTAAAATCGCTTGCATGATTTTAATGGATGCCCTATTTTATTAAGACTAACTATATCTCGTATTAAACATTTTAATTAAAACAAATTACAATGTCATCTCATCATCTTACTTACCTAAACTCTTGCGGGTCATAGGCTGACATCAGGATTGATAGTGTCCTCAGCATTATACATATGTAATGGTTGGCGTATGTACACTTGTTTATTTATTTGCAGTATGGAAGATTTGCTTTCTATGTTCCGCATCGAGTACGACAAACTTCAAATGGTGACAACTTTGGGAAATCGCCCTTCAGAAGAAAGCTGGAATCTTTTCGACAGATTAGTGCTGAATTTTAAAGATATTGAAAATGAGGGTAAGTTTATAGCTCATTTTAAAAACCATAGAAACAATGAAAAAGAGAATATTTTTTTATAGAATACTAGATAGGAATAAAGTGATAACTTAATTTTTCAGAATGTCTCATTACGAAAGAAGAGTTAAAAAGGCAGAAGGACAGAACTTCTCGACACTTGAGGTTGCGAGAGCTTCTATTAGAAAATTCTTCAGAAGCCGGTCTCATCGTGTTGTCGTTGCCCATACCGCGGCAGGTAAATCGATAAATATAGGTAGATCCAAAATACTGAATTGTCCTATCCGTGACATTGATAGCGGGGTGCCACCATCAATACCGAATCGCTGGTTCAGATTTTTGCCATGTTGAAAACTATACATGGTGGAATTTTGTAATGCCACCTGGAGGGAAAGTACTCCTAATACTGTAGATAAAAAAATTTACTCAAAGAAAACATTCCTTTATTTTTGAAAAGAATTAGAACTGCATTCAAAGATTTCCAAAATTTTGCTTGCCACACCCAGGAATCGAACCAACTAAAATCTGTTAAAAATTACACCCTGTTTTTTTATTGCATCGATAGGGTTAAGTATAAGGATAAAATCTCACTAACAAACTTGATAAATCAAATGAAAGGAAAACCATGAAATCATCAATTATTTTAATTATTAACAGAAAATTTTATGGTATGGTAGTGAATTTTCGAAAAAAAATTGGAAATCTTTGAATGCAGTTCTATTTCTTTTCAAAAATAAAGGAATGTTTTCTTTGAGTATAATTTTCTATCTACAGTATTAAGAGTACTTTCCCTTCAGGTGGCATTACAAAATTCCACCCTGTATAGTTTAATGATGGTGGCGCCCCTCTGTCAATGAGTTTGATGGGACAGTTCAGTTTGGGTCATCTATAAATCGGTGTATTTTGTATGGAGTTTTTTGACGTTTATTAAAGTCAAAGTAAAATGGTACAAAAACCTTTACAAGTCTACTATGTTATGTTACTCGTTTTTGAGTTTGTGATTCAAATGGTGTTGCCAAACAGTAATAATCAACTTTCCACAGGGAACGTCTGCGGCGCTGTATATGGCGTGGCTGGAAGCCATGAGCTATGATCTGCCTCCCATGCTGTTCGTACGGGGGAATGACGTATCAGTTCTCAATATGTAATAGAACTATTGTATGCTACTCTTATTCCCGAAATCCTTTGTAACCGGGACCACGGGGTGTGACATACCTAATTATGACTGTCCTCTTGTGGGAAACACTACATAATGTAATACTCATCAAAACATGTTTGTGTATTTCCTGTGGTCATGCCCTTTTCATAAGATGGACATGAGCAGTATGAAAAGTATTCGTATCGTATGAAAACGTCACGATATATTAATTATTTGACAGAAGTATTGAAGTGGAAGTGACGATTTTGTATAGTCTGATATTTATGTCATGTAATCAATCATTTAATGCAATAAAACTAATCGTGTAAATATATTACAAGGTTTTCTTTATTTCACACATTTTCACAAGTTTTTAATTTAGATATAACAGAAAAATAATATTAAAATATTTACAGATACAGAATCAACAGTTGTTTCAGATTAACAATTTATTAGTCTTAAATTATAATAAGAGAAACATGTTTTAATTGCTACCTAGGTTTTAAGTTAGTGCATTTTCTGTTGCGAAAATTATTTTCAATCCATATAAATCCTACAAAAATGCATTCCAAACAGTAGTATCATTATCTAACTTGCGCAACAGTAAATTAGTTAAACCTAGAGAGTATGCTCCATAATTTTTATACCAAAGCTTTCGAGCTAGGCGAAGCAGCACACGATATCGATCCGGTGTATAAGTTTGAGTGTCAAGTGAAAAGCAAATCCACCAAGAACAATGGGTAAGTAAAACATAGTTTATATTTGGGATAATAGATGGCGCTGTGCTCCTTTAGCTCGCGCTAACATTTGTTTTTTTCCTGGCTTTATATACCTCCTGGAAATGTATGCCCACCCAGGTTCAGCTAGGTTCAGCTAGGTTCAGCTAGGTTCAACAGTAGCTTAGCTTGAATCTCAATAAACGATGCTATTGCCTGTAAAATAGCTTTCATTTTCCCATGCACACCTCGCTATCGTAGGGTTGTACATCCGGAAGATTCGCTACGACCGGACGCGGGCAGGGAACGAAGGACATCTACGGCGATATGTAAGTTGCGTGAAGGACGGCGATTTCAAATATTGATTCTATAGAGATATGTCGCTTGAAAAATAAATAATCAATCTGCAATTTTAATTAATCTCTCTAACAGGTGTGTAAATATTTTACATTACATTTACAATTTGTTAATTTGATTATAGTGAATTTATTATATTTATTATTATCTTTGCTCGTGTAACAATAAATAATAGGTATGTAGCGAACACGAATTCATTTTTTCAAAATAATTATGCCGCTAGTAAAATTTTGGAGCATATTAACGTTACTCAGTCTATGTATATAAATCTATTTATAATAATTCGTATTATAGATGTTCAGTGCACAATCCGAGAGACAAGATTCTTAGCGATTACAACATAATATGTAAGTGTACTACGAGAGCGCTCACGACGCGGCTACCGCGGTAGCTTCTGAGACAGATCGTTTAACAGAACCGTAAACAACATTTGAACTCCTCTCTTGATAAAAAGGGACATGTAATATAAATTGTGTCTATTTATTTTTATAGTTAATTACAATAACATTTATCTTAGTTTCTATATATTTTATATTCGGGAAAAATACTTAAAGCATCGTTTACAGCTATGTAAAACTGGTCCGAGACAGACTGCGCCGTCGATCAGACACCGCGCCTCGTCACAATCGGGGCTCCGTAAATAAAATATAAACATACATAACTACATAAATTACAGACGAAAAACTTCACACAGCCATATTCCTTACATAAATAAATAAAATTCTAATTACGGAAATATTTTTGGTTACAAAGATTTACGTTACGCAAAATAAATACTCGAATTACGAGGTTTCCTTTACCCGATGTAAGGTTGGGTCCACTCGTCGCTGCGGACGGCACTCGCGCGGCGGGCGTGACGTCGGCGTGACGTCACGGCGTGCGTGGAGCGGGTATGGCACGGCGCTCACAGCAGCGCGCAGGGCGGGCGCGACAGCCTTCATTCCGACTCCTCCTCGTTGTCGTCGTCGAAGCCCGTCAGGTCCGCAGACTCTAAGTACCCGTTCATTACCTGTGAAGACGAAATAATTCAATTATATTTACCGCTGGGCTTTTATTTGAAGAGAAAATTTATGACAGTATTCGACAAACGTCAGTGTAGGAGGAAATCATAATAATTTTCAGCCACAGGAGAGAACGTCCACTGCTGAACATAGGCTTCTTTTCCAGATTGGCCGGTTAGTAGCGGCCATTAATCCAACACCTTCAATTATTATGATCAATATATTGTTCACTTTACAAGCTAAAGTGCTAATAGGCAGGGCACATAGCATGCAGAACCGATTACCTATTGGGGCAGCAAAAGGTTCTGGAATAGAGGCCACGTACCGGCAAATGTATCGTGGAGGAAATCAAGCCTTAAATGATACCACACGAGTGTTAACATTGCGTTGTAAGGATGCGTTTCCGTGCCGCTTCGTAGTTCTATTATGTGACGTGTCGTTGAGTGCAACGTCAACGCCCGCGTGGCATCTTTCTTAGGCTAAGAACTCACGGCACGATTTTCACCCGCGCCCGCGGTGGTTGCGGGCCCGCAGCTTCTGTAGAATGCAGATACTGTAAAAACTAATGCACAACTTACGACGCGGTTTGTGCCCGCAGCGTGCGCGGTTGTATGCGGGTCCCGCGGCACCGGCGGGCAACTGTAGAATCGCACGGGCCTCGGTAACCGCAGCCTCGGCGGTTGTCGCCCGCGCGCTCTGCATCGATCGGCGGGCGACCATTTTGTAACAGTGACTAGGCTAAGTACGGCGCGATTTTCGCGGCGGCGGTCGCGGGCGGGCGCAGGTGAAAATCGCGACGTGAGTTCTTAGCCATAGAGAATAGATTAGCAAGCCTTACCGCGTGCTCGAGGACGGCGAGGTGGCAGAACACGTACTGGTCGGGCATCTGGATGCTGTGCGCGCGCTGCGCCCGCACGCGCTCCACGGTGCCGCGCACAGTGTCCGCGTTGGGAACACATGGCAAGCCTTACCGCGTGCTCGAGGACGGCGAGGTGGCAGAACACGTACTGGTCGGGCATCTGGATGCTGTGCGCGCGCTGCGCCCGCACGCGCTCCACGGTGCCGCGCACAGTGTCCGCGTTGGGAACACATGGCAAGCCTTACCGCGTGCTCGAGGACGGCGAGGTGGCAGAACACGTACTGGTCGGGCATCTGGATGCTGTGCGCGCGCTGCGCCCGCACGCGCTCCACGGTGCCGCGCACGTCCACCGCGCCCTCCGCCGCCAGCCGCAGCGTGCAGATGTCCAGCGTTATGAACGTGCCTGGAGTACAGATAAACGAAGATGTGTTATGGTCATGGTTATGGTCACGATTTGATCACACACAGTGGCCTAAAGGCCACTCGTGCGTCGAGTGTCGAAGTGTGCGGACGCGTATCGTATCTGCTTGGAAATATTTCTAATTTTTAAATTGTGTGTTAAGCAAGAACAAGTCCTTTGGTGATTGTAACAAAGTGCATAATCACTGTACGCTCAAGCTGTACCAGTGAATTAGCAAGCCTTACCGGTTCTACTCGAATAGACCAGGAGACAGTGTTCATTACTTTTGTGTTAGAATGAGTCTCACGCATTCACCGCCAGATACAAACCTCAGCCGCGCAAGTGGATCCACTCATAATCTGTGTAATTATGACGATGAAGAACAAGTTAAAGTAAATCCGAGAAAAAGGCGACCTCACACACTGGATTACGATTTTAAACAAGACCTAGCTGATTTCCGTAGTGAGATGAAAGATCTTCTCAAGGAATCAATTAAAACTCAAGTCCATAACATTACACAAATGCGCGAGGAAATGAAAGAGGAACTCAAAGACTTAAAATCGACGACCGAAGAATTAGCAAGAGAATACAAAAAACTTAACGACAGTGTTACGAATATAATCTGTGAACATAAAACAATAAAAACGAAAATTAATACGATTGAAACCGACTTAAGAGAGCTTAAGAATAATCCAATAGATAACCTTCAACATAAAACAGCAACACAGCATGAGATTATTCAGGAAGTACATGATAGACTACAACGTGAAAAAAACATTATTATGGTGAATCTAGTGGAAATAAATGAAAGGGACATCACTTCGGATAAAGATGCGGACTTAGAAGAGGCTTACAATGTACTAAAATGCATCTACCTAGACTGCCCTAAGCCTCTCAAAGCAATCAGATTGGGAAAAGCTATGGATAGCAAGGCTCGACCGCTTAAGTTGATTTTTGATAGCTCCGAAACACCGAAACACTTACTAAAAAATCGGTCAAAAACTCCGGCTAATACTAGAATCTATAGTGACCAAACACCCGCTCAAAGAAAATATCTGAAAAATCTCCAAATCGAAATGGAACAACGTGAGAAAAATGGAGAATCTAACCTTAAAATACGATATGTCAAAGGAATACCCACCATCACTGAAATCACACCTTCAAAAAACGAATAAATACTACTTGTAAACACCCTAACAATGACTTCAGCTCAAACAGTATTACATACCATATAGTGAACAAATACCAAGACCTTCCCGTGGACTCATCGTCTCTCAAGTTCTTTTACGCAAATGTGAGGAGCATTCGTACACCTGGGAAATTTGAAGAATTGCAATGTATCCTGAGAGCTATTGAATCTACAATCAATGTGATCATCTTAACTGAAACTTGGATACAATCGGAACTAGATGGAAAATACTACAATCTACCCAACTACAACCATATATTCAACTACCGACATGATAGAATAGGAGGAGGCGTTTCCATATATTTGCACAAGAGCATAGATTTTGAAATAACCGAAAACAAACACAAAGATAGTAATCACTACTTGTGGATATTTCTACCACGATTTTCTCTACACTTGGGAGGTGTTTACAAGCCAGGCGATACAAATCATAAAGAATTTCTTGAAATATTTAGCCAACAGCTGGAAATAAGAAAGCGATCAATCGTTTTTGGGGACTTCAACCTGGATTTGATTAAAAGCGACACTCCTACCACACAATATTTGTGCACACTTGAAGATACAGGATATGACGTACTAAACAAAATAGAAAAAGAATATTATACTCGGCGAACTGAATCTACAAACACTATAATCGACCATATCCTGACAGACCTAAATAAAAATTCATTCAATGTCTCGCTAATTGATTCTGCTATGTCCGACCACAGACAGATCTACGTGGAGGTCCTTAAATGCAAGACAAAGACCAAACCAAGGATTCAGTACGAAGCGATGGATTACGATAGACTATATAAGAGTATTGAAAAATCTGAATACATAAACGAAACGAATAATTATACATACTTAGAAAATTTCATAAAAACACATATTAAGCAAAATAAAATAAGAAAAATCAAGATAATGAACCTACCGAAGGATGATTGGATTAATAAAGAAGTTATTAGCATGATGAACAATAGAAACATGCTTTGGAGACGACTAAAAAACAGTGGTGGCGACGAAACCCTGAAAAAAGAATTTACAAAAGTAAGAAATCAGGTCCAGCTGAAAATTCGCAGAGACAAGAGGAACTATTTCTACAATAAATTTCAAGACTGTAAAGAGAACCCAAAGAAGATGTGGGAAGTTATCAACTCTCTGGCTATGAACAAGACGAAAAGTAACTATGTCCCACCCAAATTAGTTTTAAACTCACAAACTATTACAGACGGTGAGAAAATTTGTGATGTATTCAATGAGTTTTTCTCTACCGTTGGTACGGAGTTGGCCAGTAGGATTCCACTGAAATACCATCAGGACTCAGGTAACACACTTATGTACAAAAATGGACATCAACACGACATTACCCTTATAACTCTTAAACATTGTACCACTAAGGAAGTAGCAGACGTAGTAGATAGCCTAGATACCAACACCAGTACTGGCGTAGACGGTATTAGCACAAAGTCAATAAAATGTATTAAGCATATTATAACCGCACCCTTAGCAGACTGCATAAATAAGTGTTTTGATCTTGGTATATTTCCTGACAATCTGAAGCTGGCTAAAGTGTCCCCTATTTATAAATCTGGTCCAAAAACTGATCCCGGAAATTACAGGCCAATTTCGGTCCTACCGGTACTATCCAAGGTTTTTGAAAAAATAATTTACTTTCGTTTGAATGAGTATTTGTGTGAAAAAAGGTTTCTCATAGACCAACAATACGGCTTTAGACCGAAATCAAATACGCTATCTGCAGTAACCGACTTAATAACAAATATAAAAACCAAAATAGACGAAAAACAAATTTGTTTAGGGATCTTCATAGATCTAAAAAAAGCCTTCGATACCGTGTGCCATACTAAACTTCTGGAAAAATTGAGTAATTTGGGTGTCACTGGATCTGCCTACAACCTACTCGCATCCTATCTTTCAAATAGAAGTCAGATTGTTAGGATGGGTGACTATGAAAGTGCGATTTGTAATATAACATGCGGCGTTCCGCAGGGCTCAATACTGGGACCCCTCTTATTTCTAATTTATATCAATAACATAAACCAAATCGGTCTGAAGGGTTATCTAACTTTATACGCTGATGACACTTGCTTATTCTATTTAAAAAAAAAAATCTCGTATTCTTTTACAATCTTATTTATTTAGTAGGTGGATACTTACTCACTACACCTAGTCACACCTACCTAGTCCTGACTGAGTAAATGATAGTTAGTTTGAGGGCCATTATTTCTGTGTCAACGGAGTTGCAGATCTGATGTTTACTTATTCGAAATAATGTTAATAATTATTTATGTACCTACATTATTTTTTGTTTGTGGGCTTTGCGCATGCTTCGTCACAAGACAATTGTTGTAAATTATTATAATCTCATGTAAGTGAACTACCCTGTTCTTATGAGAATAAAGATTCTTTAAACCGAAAGGCCAGAAATGATGAGATCCGTAAACGAACCAAAGTCGCTGACATAGCCCGACGGATTAGCAAGCTGAAGTGGCAATGGGCAGGGCACATAGTACGCAGAACTGACGGCCGATGGGCCGCAAAGTTCTGGAGTGGAGGCCGCGTACCGGAAAACGCAGCGTGGGACTTCCACCCACAAGGTGGACCGACGACATCATAAAGGTAGGAAAGCGCTGGACGCAGGCCGCTACCAACCGGGTAACATGGAAAGCATTGGGGGAGGCCTATGTTCAGCAGTGGACGTCCTATATATAGCTGAGATGATGATGATAAATGGCCTAAATAATTAGAAAGCAAAAGCGACAGCAGCGTGCTAATGTCCAGCGTTATGAACGTGTCTGGAGAAGGATTAAAATTAACAGTTGTATAATGGCTATGGTTATGGTCACGATTTGATCACACACAATGGCCTAATTAGAAGGCAAAGGCGGCAAACAAATTGTAACATGGTCATGGGTATAATTGATCGCGCACAGTAGCTCAATTACAAGGCTACGTGCGGACAGAGAACAGTAAATAAAGGCCGCTGTTTCAAATCCGGCTCGAAGGACCATATTTAGTTGTGGTACGGAACTGCGGGTGAATGTTCAAATCCGAAGGAGAGTAAAAATGATTAAACTAGGACTCAGTTACAAGGCAATGTTGTTGGACCACGCAACCTATATTACGTATTAGGTGTGTTGCATCGAACAAATGACAATATTGGCAATGGTATCAGCAAGTGTCAGTAAAACCAACAGCCGCGCCGCGCTACGGTGAGTAAAACTAACATACCTGTTCGTCCGATTCCAGCAGAACAGTGAACGACGATCGGGGGTCCTCTACTGTGTCCTGCCCACGCATCTCCTAAACTGTAATTAAAATTATAATCTAATTAGACCACAAAATTAAATATTTATAAGGCATATCATCATCATTTATTTGATTTGAGATGACGATTTGCTTTGCAATAATCTCTCGAAAACTTTTGATTTACTGCCAAAAAATTTGTGGCTCACGTCTTGAAATATTGTCTTTAAAGAATGAAAATTGATCTTGGATCAAACGTCACTATGATTTAATCGTGCACGCACTGTCGTGCTGTAAACAGTGACTTAACGACACAAAGTAATCAAAATATGATTGTGATCTAACACTGCGGTATCTGTCAGGTACTCAACTTTCCAATAATCTTTAGTACTACGCAAGCCAAAATAAACTGTTTACATTATGACGTCGCTGCTGTCATCATTGTTATCACGTGCAATGTGTTCCGTTTTTGGGCATATTTCTGCGACACCGGCTCCGCCCCCTTGTCACGTATCCCTTTAGTTTCTGTGATCGATAGATTTTTTTTTTTTGAAGGGACGCGCGCTGGTAGCTTGTGGAGCTTTTCCAGCTTCACCGGGCAGAGTGGCGAGTACAGAAGGTACTCTAGCCGTTTGGCGATCGTCGGTGCGCGTGCCGACGAGGCCGAGTGTGCGCTTTTTTTTTTTTTTTTTATCCACAACGAGGAAGCTCTTAGCCTGAATCTCACCTGATGGTAAGTGATGATCAGGCCGAAGGTCGAAGCGAGCTTCACCCGGAATCCTCAACCACGGAGGAACTGGCTATCTTACCTCTAACTGCCGGAACACAACAATGCTGTTAACTTTGTTGTTATGGCGACAGACATAGGTAAGATGGTGGTAGCTAGCCAGGCGGACTTAGAACAAGCCCTACCACCAACCAAACCGAATAGAAAAATCTGCCCCCACTGGGAATCGAACCCGGGACCTCTGTGTCTGAAGCAGGTGGTCTTACCACTAGACCACAGAGGCGCTTTGCGAAGCGAAGCCCAGGCTCGTCCGCGTTGGTCGCAGACCGACGTTCGCGATCGGGCCGTATCGAGCGCATAAGGCGCCCGNGAGCTTTTCCAGCTTCACCGGGCAGAGTGGCGAGTACAGAAGGTACTCTAGCCGTTTGGCGATCGTCGGTGCGCGTGCCGACGAGGCCGAGTGTGCGTTTTTTTTTTTTTTTTTTATCCACAACGAGGAAGCTCTTAGCCTGAATCTCACCTGATGGTAAGTGATGATCAGGCCGAAGGTCGAAGCGAGCTTCACCCGGAATCCTCAACCACGGAGGAACTGGCTATCTTACCTCTAACTGCCGGAACACAACAATGCTGTTAACTTTGTTGTTATGGCGACAGACATAGGTAAGATGGTGGTAGCTAGCCAGGCGGACTTAGAACAAGCCCTACCACCAACCAAACCGAATAGAAAAATCTGCCCCCACTGGGAATCGAACCCGGGACCTCTGTGTCTGAAGCAGGTGGTCTTACCACTAGACCACAGAGGCGCTTTGCGAAGCGAAGCCCAGGCTCGTCCGCGTTGGTCGCAGACCGACGTTCGCGATCGGGCCGTATCGAGCGCATAAGGCGCCCGATCAGTGGCGAACCCAACTAGAGGGTTGCCCACCGCGGTGTTGGACCAAAGTCCAGCCTACGGCGGGCTCACTCTAGTGGGCCCGATCGAGGGGACTACGGACGCGGCCTGAGGGCGCCACGGTAGGCTCGGACCTCGGCTCAGGCCGTGTCCGGGGGACGGATAGGGAGTATGGATAGAGTGTGCACTCACTCGGCCCGGGCCCGCTGCTGCGCGCGGCGCACGCGCGTGAGGAAGCGCAGCACGGGCTGCGCGCGGCCGCCGCCCGGCACGCCGTAGTCCGGCCAGCGCGTGTACTGCCCGTGCCAGATGCGCCGCGTCTGCTCCGTCTGCGAAACAAACACATTTCATTCAAATACAACACAAAGAACATAGCAAGAGCAGTGATGTGCTGTCTACTCGAACACGTGCGTATGATAGAATGAGGGTTTTCGCGAATGAAAGATCCGCTAGATGGCGGGACGTGGATTTGGGGTCTGACTGGTTGATTTTGACATATCTGTCAATGTCATGTCAAAAATAACCAATCATGCAGCATTTGGACCTCGCGTCTACGTATAGATGACCCACGCTGAACTGTCCCGCCAAACTCAATGACAGGGGGGCGCTACCATCGTTCAACTATATGGTTTCCAACATGGCAAAAATCGGAACCAGCGATCCGGTATTGACGGTGGCGCCCCACTGTCAATGTCATGCATAGGACAGTTCAGTATTTTGGAACTATATTGCCATTTTTCTCTAGCGAAAACCCTCATTACCACGCAATAATTTACGCGCAAAGAATAAGAGCACAAAGATGCCACGCGCCACGAGAGTTCAATTTCGGTTTCCTTTTCACCAGCTCGTTGGTGATACTGTAGCCGGCGTGCGTGACGCGCTGGCCGACGGCGAGCGCTGTCTAGCCTGTTGGTCACGTGACACTCACCCGCAGCTCGGTGAGCACCAGGTGCGTGATGGTGTAGTCAGGATCTGTTTCCACCAGCTCGTTGGTGATACTGTAGCCGGCGTGCGTGACGCGCTGGCCGACGGCGAGCGCTGTCTAGCCTGTTGGTCACGTGACACTCACCCGCAGCTCGGTGAGCACCAGGTGCGTGATGGTGTAGTCAGGATCTGTCTCCACCAGCTCGTTGGTGATACTGTAGCCGGCGTGCGTGACGCGCTGGCCGACGGTGAGCGGCCAGTACTGCCCGCACTTGACGCGGCCGCGCTCGATGGCGCGCGTCGTCATCACGATCACGAGTGTGCCTTGCTCCCACACCATCCGCCAGAAGTCGCCGAATGTCTTCGGTAAGGGTCCTGCAAATGGACATAGACCGTTTTATTCAAAATCACACAGAGATGATTTGAAAACTTAATGTGTTATTGTGCGGTCTTTACAGAAATACAAAGTCGCTAAAACTACGCAACGGATTTTAATGTAGTTATTAGCAATTCAAGGGGAAGTTTTATATGTATTACGTGTTGAAATCGGGGCGGCGCTTAGTAAGTGCCTAAAGTATGAGAACGGCATGGGAGGGTGTTTTTGGGACGTTAAACGTCAGCGAGACTTCCAATGTTGGTTGTTGTTTTAATTTATAATGTTGGTTGGAGAGGCGCCCGCTGAAAACCAGCGTCGGGGCACGCATGCATGCACGCGTGGCTCGATTAATGCTGAGCGGGCGCCTTTTTGGCACAAAAATATGCGTGTATAGTTTTAAGTCCCTTTGTTCTGTTTTTTATTTTTTCCTTTTTGTGTCAAATAAATTTTTTATTATTTTTATTCTAATGTGCTTCAGATTTGTATGCTCTGTAACGTCATAATATGTCAATGTCACCCCTCCCGTGCCGCTCTTTTATAGTTCCAAAATACTGGACTGTCCTGTCGATGACATTGACAGTGGGGCGCCACCGTCAATACCGGATCGCTGGTTCAGATTTTAGCCATGTTGGAAACCATATAGTTGAACGATGGTAGCGCCCCCCTGTCATTGAGTTTGGTGGGACAGTTCAGCGTGGTTCATCTTTACCTTAGGCACTGATTAAGTTCAGCGCTAGACCTACAGTTGCTTATAAAATGTATTCTTTGGTGTATCTCTTTATTATCTTAACTAAACGTAACGTACCTTGCGTGCAGATGAAAGCATTCTTCTGCTTGTACCCGTCGACGTAGTTGGCGTTGATATAGTCGCTGGAGGGGTCATCGGGGTCCGTCTGCGAAAGTGTGACCCGCGAGTGGTCGTAGCACAATACGTCCGTATATCTGTTTTTGGCTAGGTTACTTGGCAATCTGAAATCAATGTTGTTTTCATTAAGGATTACAATATTATAATAAAGTATACATACATACATACTACACGTCTGGAAGATTTGGGCACAACTCAATAATACAAGATCGAGAGAATCTGACATTTTGAACTGTTTGACGAATGATGAAACACTTAATGGTAAACTTAGTACAGCCTGTAACTCCTGTGAGTGAGTATCGTGGCAAGCAACGCAAAATAACATCATAATATGCTTGGGATGAAAACAGAGTTGCAAATTGCATAGAGGCTCTCAATGCAGTTTACACACTTTAGGATCTTCGCTATGGCCCATGCCAGAATCACTTTTGTTTTGAGTCAGATGGATAGATCCGAAGATTGTCGAGAGTAGCCCCGCTGATCCTAATTTCGTTGGCATAAGGTACTTTTTAAAATTATCGGCACACAAATGGATTACTATGTCACCGTCAAATTGTGAATTATTATTCCGTCAGAATTATCTGACGTAGTTAGATTACAATCTAACCTAACCCACTGTTAGTTTACAATCTCACGCGTTATATTATAAACTGACCTCAGATCATAGAAGGGAATAAGATTTTACAAAAAAAAAATAACAGTAGAAGTAATTAGTAACTGTCAACTATGTAATTACTATAAGAGCTAGTTGAAAGCCTAATATAGGCATTATTTTTGATAAACATATGCGGTACGCAGATCGCCATAATTAAAAAGTAAATGCGTGATAGTAGTTAATAATAACGTATAATAATAAAAAGGTTTTCATACATAAGCATTTTGTGAAACCAGTTTCGAGGCTTGCCCCTAGCGATTTAAAGTATCGATATCTTGTCGACTCCATTTTATCTTTGTTCTCTCACTAGCGTTTTCAAAGGTGTGCGTCACGTCACGCGGCCATTGATTGGCCATAAGGCACGCCTTCTGGCCAATCACAGCACTTTTAAGCCGGTTGCACATGTTGTCGTAGACTCAAGTCGCTTTGTTTTTACACAGTTGAATGTGTGTGTGGGAGCTGTGGTGGGGGAAATGTGGGGACACTGGTTCTATTTGTAGTTACGCGCGACTTCATATCTATTCTCTTTCTATGATCTGAGAAACTGACGGACGTAAACCCGCGACTCACTTGGCGTGGTGGAAGGTGCCGCAGGGCGGGCGCGCTCGGATCTCCTCGTACTCGGCGGCCAGCCCGCGGCGCCGCAGCGAGCGAACGCGCGCCAGCAGCGCCGCCGGCGTCTCGCCCGCGCCGCCGCCGCACTCCTCGTCCGACAGCCCCGGCGACGCCTCGCCCGACGACCACGTGCCGCGGGCTGCGAGGGTTGATAGATCATCATCATCTTTCCAAATCACTAAAGCCTGGTCCGTGAGCATGTAGAATTTTGTCCAATGACCCCAAGCTACCCATCCTTATCGCTCGCGCGTAATTATGTTGCTGTCGCGCTCGCACACTCACTGCGGGCGCCCGTCGCACAGTCGCGACAGCAACATAATTACGCGCGAGCGATAAGGATGGGTAGCTTGGGGTCATTGGACAAAATTCTAAGTGCTCACGGACCAGGCTTTACACTATGACGGGAATGATGTGCCGCCACTTTCGAATTCTCTAAGCGACGGCATGACATTCAATTGTCTTTCACAACTTATTCCATACTAGCTTTCCGCCCGCGGCTTCGCCCGCGCGGGAATTTTGTCTGTCACAGAAAAACTTTATCGCGCGCGTTCCTGTTTCAAAAACCGGGATAAAATATATCCTATTTCCTTTCCCGGGACTGAAACTATCGCTATGTCAAATTTCATCAAAATCGGTCCAGTGGTTTAGGCGTGAAAGCGAGACAGACAGACAGACAGAGTTACTTTCGCATTTATAATATTAGTATAGATCCTGAAATCTGAATACTCATCATCATTTATACCATTTCAGTCTCATGTGATGACGAGGCTGACCTGATGGGCATTTAGTCTCCACTGAAGGAAGACAACCCTCTCTAACAGAGAAAAAGGGAAGTTTTGATCTTTGGGTACAAGAATATTGACGAAATAGAAGATAAAATAGATTAAAGACGAAAATGGTCAACCTGCATTATGAAAGCCAAGGAAGTACTTTGAAGTACTAAATTCACAAACTTTGAACTATATCATAGCTGACCGGCAGAATTAACGCGTGATTTCGCTGCAAATCAGACACGACCAAATAATCAAAGAGCGTATATCGAGTGATCACTCATTAAATAATTCAATGAACGTTTAGCGGCTGATTTGCATCGTTATTACCAACGCGAACCAATCGACTGTAATACACCCAAAAGAATGACAGCTAATTGAGTGGAACAGTTTTGTTTGACGTAATCCGCTAAGCTCTAATGTGAAACTCGCCTATGTAAGGTATGTATGCGCTCGTAAAACGCTTTAGGTTACATTACGGTGTCAGGGTGAAAGCAAATTCAGCTCGAGAGAATATGCGGGCATCTACCAGCAAACCCACTGTAGTTGCTTAACAATATTGCAAATAGCGAGGAATGATTTGAAAATGTTATGATTGTGCCTTCAAAAACAACAAGATGTAAAGAACAATGTAAATTTGAGATTTTTTGTTAACCACCGCCGAACGACCCGAATAAAGAACGATTCTAAAAACAATGGATCTGATGGAATGGATATTTAGAATTAAATTCTCAGACAAAAATATATTTTTTTTTTCATATTAATAATGCTGAAAACTGTTTGTAAAAACTCGTACACAAACAAAACAAAATACAATTGTTACAAGGAAGTTCCTCATACATTATGTTATTTTAAAGATCATATATTTATAACCTAACTAGCATTGTTCAACACGTGATCCATACTTCGTCTTAATCGTTTTTTATTTACGTCTGCTTGTAAATTTAAGATAATTAGACAATTACTGCAAACAAAGATTCAAGGGAAACTTACATGAGTCACTTAACAAAAACAACATAAATATTAATAACACCATTGTGCGAACGCTGGAACATTTACATTAAACTTATTTTACGATCTTCGCCTTGCAAACGATTTCCATTCGATACGAAATGGATAATCGTAAAAACTTATCGTTTTATATTTCACTGTGTTTGTGAGCACGCGTAAACAAGTATCAAAACAGAATTTACCTATGAGGCGAGGTTTTCTCGACACCTTTTGGCCCATTTATAAATTGTTATATAAATCAGATATTTGGACATGAACATACCCACAATTTTCGTGTCAGAACTCATAATAAAATATGCGAATAAAATTACACTATAACAAAATAAAGACCTGTCAAAAATGACGAATGTCAAGAGCGCATTATCAAACTATCAAAAAGTTTTTAGTTTAAGAGGTTTGATTCAGAGGCTATGTATTTTATTCATGCTGTAATAAATGGAATAAAGTAATACTGATACAGTAATAAATAATTCATACTTACTGCTTATATCTAAATCGTCTTCATCCCCTGAGTTTATGTGCCTGCCCTTCATGTCTCCATTATATCCGTGCGTATTTCTGAAAATAATAAATTAAATATTCTTCAGTGTGTTTTACAAATTTCACGTTTCATCTAGCGGCTAGAGAAAACAGAATCCAAAACTAAATGAAACCTACCATTCACGATGATCATTACCAATATGAGATACATTAATCGATGAGTATGATTCAAAATGTACAAATGTACTTGTATGAAATTTTTGTGATGATAATGTTACAGCAAACGGCGTGTGTTATTTGCTTGTAACTGGGAAATGTAATTACAACCAACTTCAAAACTATTTCTAAAATACAAATTGTCGCATAGGTAAATTGTGCAAGTTCTAAAAAGCGAGCAAATCGCGACTAGCCGTAACGGGAGAAAATGTAGGTTGTAGTAGGTACGTAACAGATACCGTGTTCGGTCGGTGCCGTGCAATCTCTTTCCCCAGGTCTACGTATCGACTTCAATTAAGCGAGTCCGTAATTCTGAAAAATGATCTCACATTACCGAAGCTTGCCGGAAAGTTGCCAACTCTTTTACTTAGTTCATGAATGTTGACACCTACCTATTTCATTAATATTACCAGAAAAAGTTTAATGCGACTTAATTACACTAGTTAAATACGATAACAATTTAACGTACTCCACGTTCAATCAATAAACAATGAATGAACATAAACTGCTATTCTGCGTCAATACAATTTTCATATTCAATCAGTCATAAACATATTTGTTTGAGAAGTACCTATGATAATATTTATACCTATTAATATCGTGCGCTATCAGCAGGGCGCAACAACGGCGCTCAGTGAAACGGAATGGAATCGCAGGTGGAGGTTACCAATGATGCATACAAGTAAACTACAATGCAGGCTATAATATACCTATCCTCACCCACCGCCCAATACGGAGAATTTCCATGCTCGTGAACGACCCACGCACTTTTATATCCATTTTATTTTTTATCGATCGGGGTAAAACTGTATTCCAGTGAAATGGGTTGAGTTAGAACTCCTATACTTTTATGTTTGCTGGCGGTGCTCAGGTTGCAATCTAGTCCATGACCTCATCGTTTTAGTTCCGAGAACTTGAGCTAACGCTCCTGTGTGGCACGTGCAAGGGGATCAATTGATTTCCGATACCTGTCTCTATTCTTTTAGTTATTGCTCTAAACGCTAGTCTTGATTCAAAACCATTGGTTCGACTTCGATTTGCACATGAGTTTACATCGGGGATACAGATTGATAAAATAACCGTTATTTCCACTGAAGGTAGGTTTGGAAGCTTAGTCCTTAGTACTTACTGAAAAGCACATAGAGCCTAATTTGTTTATACATATTTCAAAGAACCAACTTTTATAGGTTTCCTTTAATTTGCGTGCCGTCTAACCTTTCTAACCTTTAACCGGTCGATGCCGGGATTCCAGACAACAATGCGAAAGTCATTGTGCCGCGTCTTGTGCCTACGCTTAGGAAGGTTAATCTTATAGTAAAACTATTGAGTATTGATATTATTATCTTCAAAGAACACAACTTAGGTATCTTAGCTAGCTTGTTGCATGACACCATTCGTGTACAAACCACACGTTACGTGTATTAGTGAGGTGACAGCTTACCTAAGCGGGCTGGTATCGCAGGTGTAGGGAGGGTCGCCGCTGATGTGCATGTCTGTGTTGTTGTCGCACAGTCGCGCCGCGCGGTCGCTGGTCATGTCACATCCGACCTCGTGCTCGATTATACCTGACAACAAATATAAATTCATCATCAGCCGGGCTAGGATGCGCGCCGTGATAAAATCTTATCGATGATTTTAGACGACAAACGTATGAGTGTATCGCGTAAAATCGATATAATGACGCGATAAAAGCTTATCGCAGCGCGCAGGCCTAGGGGCCTACAGGTCATTTATTCTACACTGCAGGAGAACGACCCTCTAATTTACAGAGGCCAATAGAGGATTTGGTGTACATTCCCCCACGCTGGCCAGGGGAGTTAGGGAGGAAAATGCGACAGTTTTAACTTCGAAATCATTTCACGGAGCGAAGCAACTACATACAGAAAAATATTGGAGCGAACCGATTTCGAAATTACAAATGTCACTTTTTGTGACTTGTCTAGGGGGCTGATGTTTCGTATATTTCGCCCTTACTCGCCTTTTACGACATCAACGGGAAGGGCGGGAGTGGTCTTATTCGAGTCTGCTAGAACCACATGGTTAAATGCATTCTTGAACGTAACTCACTATAAATAATACCGAAACATACCGGATGCGCGCATACTTAACGCCAACTTTACATATTATTTAAGTATACGTTGGTACAATTTAAATAACAAAGACTGATTCCATTTTAAACAGTAATTGTGTAGTTAATATTCATCATAAATGTTTTTGCCCACCTCTTCATCAAGATTGGTTACATAAAAACACGTTTTACCTACTTCGTCGACATTTTTAATTGTTAATGGTCACGTCATATTAATCACGAACGACGTAATATATGCGACGTTAAGTAACTTATTATGCGAAAACATAAGCTTATATGTGTGTATGAAATAAATAAAAGTAATTAGTATTTTTTAACTTACCATTTTGTGGTTTGACTGCGGGAATGTGATTACTAATTACATATTCGTCAATGATTCCGTCTAACTTTGAATTCTGCAGATTATTTGTGTAGCAGTTTTTGCAGTGTTCTAACCTGTAAACAAAGGAAATTATGATTTAATGATATTATTCAGATAGAAAAACAACTGGCTGGTCATTGTCTTCATGCATCGTGTTAAACAAGTTGTAAACTTGTATTATTTATTGGACACTAAAAATTATATTGTTTTGAAAGTAAGTGAAAGTGTGCGCGTTTATTCATAAAACTATATGTAGTAAAATTTATATTTCTTTTGCTCTGTAGTAGTACGCAAAGAGCTGCAAGTCGTAAATATTTCTTGATGCTTTTGTACACCCCTACCAAGTTTCTGCATGAGAATTTCAGCATTGCAAATGAAAATATTTCAGCATCATTGAATTGAAGAACGTTTACTTTATGTCCAACGAAGGAACTTACTTAATCGCAAAAGTTATTTCAATCCTTCCTTGGATTTTTCTATTTCAGTGAATAAATTAGGTCAAATGAGGCTAACGTTTATTTTAGGTCATGAAGTTCTGCGTAGCTGTGATTCACCGTAGTCGATCTATAAGCCGCTTTACTGCGAATACCGGCATTATTTACACGGCTACAATAACGATTAAATGGAATGGCTGGCGCATAATGGATGACCATTACGTGCATAATAATTATGACAAAATGCCACGAAAAAGGGAAAAATTGGTCAGCTCAACAAATTTCAGTGACAGAAACACGGTCTGCAATTTAAATTACTTTCGACGAAAAAACGAACCGTATTTCGTTGCAAAGCACAACTACATCTGTTGAAACAGCCCGTATCTTTTGAGAAATTTTAAGAACGACATCGTAAAGAATTTATCTGGAGCTTTCATTTTGTTAAAAGACTCTCGGAATGAACTACCTATTTATTTACTTTAGCGTAACGTAAACAGGAGCAGCAGCAGCATAAGATCCGAGAATTCTGCCGTTTCAAACACTTTTCGCGCTGCTTCTGCGAAACCTGAGTTATTAGCGATGTATCGATCCTATGAATGTCCTGGGAATTTCATATTTATTTGACCGCTGCATGCTGCATTTTTAATTAAAAACATTCACTGGTACACTTAATTAATAAAAGACTTATAGACAGTTAATAGGTAGTTAATGTATTCAAACATTATTTGTGACAACACTGGTCTAATGTCATGTGAGTACCATCGGTCTGGTTTTAGCTACCTACCAGATATAGTACTTACTACTGGTGGTGTGATGTCTGCGACAAGTTAAACTAATATGTATCATGAAAGTCACAGGCAGCGTGGTCAATATCTTACCCCCCTCCTCCCAGATAAAGCGCGAGTACGTAAGGTGCAATCTCCATGATTGAAAAAGTTTGCAGTGTCATATTAGTACCAGCTAGCGAAAGCTAATTCAAACTATCTGCCCGCGTAGCAAGACTTGCAAGACAAGTGAAAAGTCGTGACTTATGTCAGAACCAGACCGCGTGCAGCTTGAACAGACACTTACTGTCTGCCAGGTATATGAAGACTACACGTAGCGTGAGTTCCGCTTTAGGTTAATGCGTGCAGTAGCAAAAAGAGAACGTGGTAAGACTTTGACTATCTCCCTGGTATAGCATAGTGTAGTGTAAGCCAGCACAAGTAAAGCGTGCAGTATCATGTTAGTGCCAGGCAGCGTGGTAAGTCTCCTACTTTCTTCTACTGTCTTCCAGGAACAGCATGCGGTGTGAGCTCCCAGCTCCAAGTCAAGCGAGCAGTATCATGTAAGTAATACGCAGCGTGGTTAGTCTCTACAGCTCCATCTCCCATGTATAACATAGTTTAGTGCGAGCTCCCAGCTCTTTAAAGCGTGCAGTATCATGTAAGTACCAGGCAGCGTGGTCAGGCTCCAGCTGTCCGCCCAGCTGGCGGGGCAGGCTGGCGCGCGGCACGTGCACGCCCAGCTGTGGCGCGCTCACCGTGTGCACGCGCTCGCGCAGTTTCTCCCTCACGAAGAGCCGTAAGATCCGGAACGGCGCCTTGAACCACAGCGGAGCCGTCACTATCAGCACCTTCTTCAGCTTAGCTGGGTACCCACCCTGGAACAATGACAAAAGGCTATTTAGAATATTGCTAGCACAAAATAACTATTCATATAAACACATTATCTATTCATCTACTACCGCGAACAACGCAACGCTGATTCAAAGAGTAAACTAGAAACCAGTGAACAAAACACCACAGCAACACAGCTTTTCCAAGACAATACAAGCATTATTGCGCGGGTAAATTGCTTTCCTCGTACTGTGCAAATGTGACCAAATAATAATTTTCTAGATCATAGAGCGGCCCTATTAGGAGTCACAGCCGACAGCGGCCCATTACACAGTCGTAGACATCAACACCGAGCGACGATATCCGAGGCCAGCAGCGATGGCGCAATAATGAACCACTTCGATGCCAAGTCGCGCGAAAATCCACTTTTGTTTGAAAAAGTATGTCGCGAGTAAATGGAAAAATCCGTGGACCATCTAATCTGCTTATTTCAACCAGAATTACGGTAAACGACTGCTATTTAGTTTTGCGTCATAATGAACATTTCAAAAACATCAATACAACGTTTCCTACTTTACTCCTTCTCACAAGTCAGTCAAAACAATTTTCTTGCACGAGTAACTCTAAATAGTGAGCTAGCTACGGAACGAAGTGGGGGCAAGTGTAGACGACAGCTCTCATATTTTACACATTCTGAAATGAAAATGTGAATATGCAGCAGTAGGAAATCAGTTTTACGTGGCATTTATTTTTATTATCGCTGTAAGCTACAATTCTTGACATTTCACTTGATGGAAAAGTACAGTAATTTTATTTGTATGCAATGTGAATATTTGAAAAGTAGCACGTGACAAGTGACTTTTTTCGAATGAATCTCCAGAGGAAAACGACCAAACTTGATAATAAATTCGCATTAGCGACCCAACTGAGAGTTGGCCTTATAAATATTCACGGTCGAAGTGCCCTGCAAGCACTCAAGGGTAAAATGAGTTCTTCTTTTGGACGTGAAGGGTATCAAGAAAAGCTTGGGCATGCATGGCTCTGCATCAATGTCAATGTTCACGATGTATAAAATATAAATGGTGAACCTTATTCGCTGGTAACCACACTGAAGCAAAATATAAGAGAAAAATATACCAATGCAAGTGAAAAGTTGGCGTGAAATGTGAAAAACAACTAAGTTAGACAGTTGTCAAGAACCTTGAAGACGTATACTTTGAGATAGTTTTTACTGGTTGTGCGACCTCGTATTTTCCTTGGACGTAGTGCCATCTCAATCCGCGTTATAACACGTCCGTGAAACAGAAACCTTGGGAGAAGAAATACAAAAAGTACAAGAATGTATTCATGTGATAGGGTAAGGGTGTGGGTTAAGTACTTAACCTGCCAGGTGGGGTGTAAGTGGCTATTCGCATTAGGATGGCGAAACCTTGTATATCCCACCGCCAAATAAAACTACGGCCTAAACATAAGACGAATCTCGCACCCTGTAATATTCATATGTGTAATACGTACACTTTTCCTTTCCTATTTTATCTGTACTTTATCAAATATGTTACTAAAGAAAAATACTAAAAAAATTATCATTGACTTGAACAGTCATTGAATTTTGCTTTTATTCATGCTTAAGTACCTATACAAAAATAACATGTTTCGTAGGTACTTTATTTTAGTAGGTAGGTAGGTAATTTGATCTGAAAAACCACAACGAAGTAACGAGCTCTTTTCATAACGAAATTAAAAATAAACACTGTTTAACCAGAATCAATAATGATTATGGTCTTTCAGACCAAGTGCGTAGATACAGGTAAAAACGAGCTGAACTCTAGGTACATAGAGCTTTTGAAACACAGTCACACTTGTTGAATTATGAAAGCTGTATTAGTTACTTAAGAAGTGGCAGATATAATACATTATTACGTATAGTTAGTTGTTGTAACTTACGAAGGCTATTGAGCTTTACATGTGGGGTGGCTCACTACTGTTCGTTTTTTTTTTCAAAAGTTTCAATAGACTTTGCACTATCGTTATGTGCATGTACTGTACACGTACACACGGGTATATCTCACTCGCCTTCGTCAGTTGCATGAACTATAATTTTGTAGGTCGGTACCTATTTAGGACTGTCTTCAAAAATAGGAGCGAAGTACGAAAAAATATCTCAAAACTTAACTTAATCCTCAGATCTGAATAAGAAATAATACTATTACGTTTAGCGTGCTCTTTGAACATCATGAAGTCTATTTTACTAAGATTAGATCCCTTAAGTAAGTTGGGGTGAACACAAGCTGGCTCATGAACATTAAGAAAACTAGGGGTGAGAGGTCGTTGCCCCCGGCTCCCTCTCGAGCCAACGAAATTATGAAATTGAAATTGGAAAGTGGCTTCTGGCTACACGTATTTACAGCCTATTTACAGGTAAAAAACAGTTTATTTAGAGAGATTTTAAAAGGTCTTAATTATCTTACAAATATTATTGAAAATTAAAAAGTTACTCTACATATCTGTTTTTTGGGTTTTCTAACGGTTTGACCTACTATGCATACTTTATATTAAGCTGCGCCAATTTTTTTTTATTTGCTGCACACAGTTACTTAAAATTTTTATTACTTTTAATATAACAACAAAGATAGATTGTATCCGTAAGATGGTCTTTAGGGAATAGACTTTAACTTGAAGCTCCCAAATAGCGAATGAAAAGTTTATGGGGAATCTGTCATTAATTTCTCATTAGTTAGATATGAATTCGTAGTTTTTGGTATGAAATAAAATGATAACAGGACACGCGACAAAGATGTTCATAGCAGACCAAAACATTATATTATTATGCATGCGGGCCGAAGTCGTGGGCATTAACTTAACAGTAACATCATCACAATACATGAAATAAGACGCAAGAAAAAATAAAAGTTAGATGAAAACTTTTCGCCCTCAACATTGCATTGAAAGCAGACATATCAGCTCAGGTAAGCTTATTATTAGACAAGTGCATCGTCCCGGGTCTTCCTGATTGCGTCGGCAGTCTAGACACAGTGACGTCAAACCACCGCTGGGTTCAACCCCCAGACGAGCCCTTGAGACGACCATGCATAAATCTAAATGAAAACAAACACCCCTAAATCTTTCGATGATAAGTACCAATTTTATCAAAATGTATAGTAGGTATCTACTAGCTTTTGCCCCCGGCTTCACCCGCGTGAAATTTAGTTTGTCACAGATCGTCATAAATTATAGCCTATATGTTATTCTGGGTTATAAACTGTAGTTTCATCAAAAGCCATTCAGTATTTTTTGCGTGAAAGAGTAACAAACATGCAGACATCCAAACTTTCGCATTTATAATATTTAAACTTTAGATTCATTGATAGGAGATGTTGTAATTAAAGGTGATCGAACTTATGAATACAGGCAATTTATATTAATTAAATATCATATCTAACACCATATCTCTCATGCTTATCATTGTGATTATAAGCCAGGTGCAGTCAATCATAAATGTGATTAATGATTACAACTTTTAGCAAAATATGAACGAAAAGTAAAAGCGTCTTTGAATGAAATTAAGACGCTTGACTGCATGCGAAAACAAAGGCGTCAGGATACGGTAGATCGAAAAGCATAAATTTTCCTGAGCCATCGAACTTTTCCAACAGTTTCCACTAATTAACATGCTCGTTAGTTAGCATAAAACTGACTAAGCCAATTTCCAAGGCTTTGTACGAGTAACGTGGCTGCTAAATCTCCGAAATTATCGGAGCTAACTCGCGTGGGAACTCTGGGAAGTTCAACAATGACTTGCGCGGCAGGGCAGGCAAACCGATAGATGTCCCGAAGAATATTGTCGGCATAGGATCGTTTGGGATCTTAAGCACAAAATATAACAGAAGACAAACTCCATACTAAACGCGCTCGAGCCACGCACACATAGACACCGCTCCTAGCAAGACTGTCTTGGACGAATGCGAGCGCGACGCGTTGAGTCACGCGCCGGTCAACCGCCTGTGATATTATTTTGTTTTGCGAAATTGACGAAAATGAGTAAACAGAATAAGTCGTATTATAATTGTTCGGTATTTGGTTGCTTAAACTCATCATTAAATACCGAATTTTCATTTTTTTAAATTACCAGTTGATTCGGGGAGGTAAGTAAGTTATTTATTTGAATTTCAATTGAAATTGAAAGCCAACTCAATTATTAGGAATATCGAATTGTTTTAGAGAGGTTTTATAAATTATTGGATAACTAGCTTTTGCCCGCGGCTTCACCCGCGTGAAATTCAGTTTGTCACAGATCGTCATAAATTATATTAGCCTATATGTTATTCTGGGTTATAAACAATAATACTGTAAAGTTACATCAAAATCCGTTCAGTAGTTTTTGCGTGAAAGAGCAACAAACATCCAGACATCCAAACTTTCGCATTTATAATATTAAGTAGTTGGATAATAGTGTCAACCACTCAACTAAATATTACTTCCTTCTCGTGTATTTGTTTGCAAACTATTACTATAATAACGTACTAAATATAATATAAATAATAAGTATACGTGGATATCTGTTATTGTCTTTCTTGCATAGTATTAAGAGTAACATTTTTCTATCATAACGAAATAAACGCAACACATAACAAGACAACCCTAGCGTCCCTAGCGCGACGGCCGAGCGTGCGAGCGAGACAGGTATGCAAAGCGAGGTACATACATGAGTTTACCTTCTGTTATATTTTGTGTCTTAAGTGTAATGAAATGCGTGTTGGTTATTTGCGCTACGGAAACATTGTCGCACCTTACGGAAACTTTTCCGCCCACACTGTTTTCATAGGTTCGATAAATAAGAACAATATAGGTGTTTTGGGATTGAGTACAGCTTACAAAACACCCCGTAAGATCTTCCGAGGATAAAGATATTTAAATCAGCGATTTTAATCTTATGATACAAACTTTGTACATTTAGTTAAAGGTTCTATTTCTCTGTAACTAGGGCGCTGCTGGCACCCGGGTGTGAGCTAGATAAACTTCGCCCGGAGACGACACCGCTCTCGGG